AATAACTAAGTTAAATATAGTAGGTTTAAGAGTATACTGATTGTAAAAACTGAATAGATGTAATATTTATTTTTGAACTACAGCAGTAACTGCTGTATATATATATTTAAGTGAGACTGGGTTTCCTTTACTTATTCATCATTGTTAAATGCTGAATTTGTTTGTTTATTTTAACAATTAAATTGGGACCTCCAAACAGAAATAGCCTTGGAGACCCTATATTTTCTCTTTTGTATGTAGCATAAAATCACTAACTTGCTCTAAATTTTTATGTTATAAATTATCTTTATTATAGTATAGATAAACTAATCAATGTTTGTCTTGATTATCTGTAACCGATTGTACAAATTGTAAAATCTTTGTAAAAAAAGAGAAAATAAATTCATTATTTCATTATTTCAGTATAGACTTATTTAAGTTATGCCAATATTGCCGTAATAAAGCTCAATAATGCTCAGGTTATGCAATGGGTCTTTAAATGCTTTAATACACTTTGGCAAGTGTCTTATTTACTTTACTTATTTACTTTATTTACTTTACTTTACTTTACTTATTTGCTTTTTAATTTATCAACCTTTATTGTGTTTATCATAGAAGTGAACTTAACGAATCAATGAGCAACTAAAAGTTTTGTGTAACATTTACTAGATTAAAACTACTTAACAACTTAACTAATTTTTAGAAAGTCGCTTGGACTGCAGGTTTGCTGAAACAGGGATATTTTCCATTCAACATCAGTATTGTATTGGAAAATCAGCAACCTACTAAAATAGGGTATCAAATTAAAAATATAGTAGCGAACTTAAACACAATAATCAGTAACATTTCACTTGAAATCCCTCAAAGCAACTCGTTTGTAACTACTCTTCACAAAGCGTTTCCATCACGTAGATGCAAGCAGTGTTCAGTATAAAATAAAAGTGAACAAATAATGTTAATTTGCGTTGCAAACACGAAGCTACGATACAGGGTCTTGTTGACCTTATGGTCATTGTTGACTTAATGAGGTGAGTAAATAAATACATCAGAGTTTTGCGTTAAAAATGTTTACAGGGTGAAATTATTTGATGACTGATACAACATCATAAACACTTAAGCCTACTTGGTTTATAGTGGGCTTATTATTTTTTGAATTGTTCAACTGTTATTAGGTAAGCAACTGTTTAAGTAAACCCTTGCTTTGTAAATTTTTTATCTGAAATAATTAAGCTTTACGAGAGTAGTAATATTCAGGGGGTTGGTTAATGAAACATACTAGAATTTATCTACATACTAGAATTTTCTAAGTGAATTTATGTTAATAACCATAATATGAGTACTTTTTTTCAACAATTTTTCAACTTACGAAAGTGAAGATAATTCTGTACATTTGTAACCAAAAGTCCTATATGTGAAACAGCTTTAAGCTTCGATTACGATTACGAATTAAAAAAAATCATCCAAACACATCATACTGTATACACTGTGTTTTTGTTGCGTGGAAAATAGCTTTTTCCTACAGTTACCTGACAAAGCGGGCTTGCTTGTACTGATTATAGCACGCAAAGTAGCTAATTGCTGCGCTTATTTACTTTTGCCACACTCATTTTTTGCCACATTCCAGTATTCCAACCAAACAACACTAAACAGTGTACTTGTATTAGGCACGTAACACGTATAATAAGCTGGCAACACTTAAAGATACTACGATTACGATCAGCTGTGCGGCGTTTCCCTTTTCGTTCAACGCTTCGAGTTAACCTAACCTAAAAATGTGTTGTATGGTGTGCTTAGTAACTGTAGGAAAAATATAATGTGTAACGCGAGTGCAAAGTGCCACTTCATACTCTAGTTATACAAATAACTATTTCCTGAGTAGGGAAACAAAACCTGCCAGATTAGCCTCGATTGCAACAAACAATATTCTTGTAACTATATGTGCGTGATAAGTTGCGATAAGCTACTAAGCATTCAGATATCTGTACAAATATCTGCATATTTGTATTCAGCTTAAGACATTCCATGAGGCTATGTGTTATTCACTTATCTGTTCAAAAGTATTGAGCTCATAGACGAAACCACACAAATAAACGAAACTCTGAGTAGAAAAGAAATAAAACAGAATTACAGGGCAGTCGAGAGACATAAAGTTTGAAAGAAAGAGTAAATAACATCGACAAAGTTGACCTTAGGTCGCTACAATAAGGTCAAACTAATCGATCTGGTTTATCAGTTTCATTCGTTCCTTTCAATCGAGAACACAGTTACAAAACGTACCATGTACACATTTTTTCCTAAGTAGTTTTTTTTAAATTGATATTGGATCAATATTTGGTCAATATTAATGCTGTATGTAAAAAGCAAAGTATAATATTTATATCTTAAATAAATATAACATCAAATAGCTCTTATGCTTGGAAACTGTAATAAGAACATTATCAACCATTATTACCAACTACAATAACAACCTATATAAGCTTTGATTGTAGCCGTTGCCAATAAAAACGTGCAACTGTGAATTTAAATATATGTATAAGCTTTACCATTCATACAATGTTAAGTAAAAAGTCATCTAATTTAGGACCCCTTTTGTCTGTATAAATGCATGTCCGTAAAGGCACACCTTTGCAAACGGAATAGAGGTATGTAGATCAGAAGATTTTTTAAAATTACATTTGCTCTTGCCGTAATACAATAGGTATTTCTGTAACTAGTGTGCGAAGTGGAAGTTCGTAACTCGCGTTACACATTATATTTTTCGTACAGTTCACGAACGAATAAATAAAACGTATAAATAATTAGTCTTTCAAACACTGTATAACACGTTTTTAGGTTAGGTAAAATCCAAACATTGAACGCAATTGGAAATTCTGCACCAGCTGATCGTAGTCGTAATATCTTTAAGTGTTGCCAACTTATTTTCAAGCGTACACATATTGCATGCATAATAAAATCACGCTATTTGGGCTGTTTGGTTGGAATACTGTTGTGTGGCAAAAGTAAAATGTGTGCAGCAAAAGTAAGTAGATGCAATTAGCAACTTTCTGTCCTTTAATCAGTACAATGAGAGCCACTTTGTCAGGTGACTGTTAAGACAAAACGACAAAACATTATTAGTATTTTAAGATTCCAGAGATCTAACAAGTCTATAATTGCAATCGCAATTTATACTAACTGTTGTATATTTCATAACTAATGATTCCCCTAATTTTAAACTATTCACATTTCCGTCTAAATTAAATCTTTCTCCTCTCTGTGCCACACTCAACAACATTGAATTAAACCACTTCTTACGATGAGCTAAGCAACAAGAAATACTTATCAAGATATTGTTTTTCACGATGTACCAATAGGGTTTGACAACAATGAAAAAACTCGCAACAATTTCCCGATGAAAAACAACTATTTTAACAAACTGAATTCCAAAGTATAATTAAACTTATTTCATCCCTTTGATTTTATAAGCGCTAGTATATTCGGCAGCGACAAGTACATGATTTGAACAAACGCTCCGAAATCGCGAAAACACATTTCACAAGTTTTAGGAGAGAGAAAACAGTTCTCTGCTGCAAAACAAACAAATGGAGCAAATTTGTTTACACAGCCAATCTACATTTAACTTCATTTGTCTGGTGAACGACATTTTACACTGTTTATCGCTCGAGAGACACGCGTACTTGTCATAACATGTCGTCGAGGATTGCATCTAAATCAAAACACAGAAACGTGTTGAGTTTATTTGATTTATAATATACATACAAAATTAAATCTTTGAATCGCCTTCACCTGGGTTTTGGGTGTGAGCAGTAGTTTATTTGTAGCTACTTTACCCGTTTATAAGCTGCTTTAGTCAATCTATCTATCTATACTTATTTAATAAGCAAGCAGGATTTTTGTGACAATTACTCCTCCGAAAATTCTAAACCGATTGACACGTTGTTGGTGTCATTGGAAAGAGCTTAACGTGAATTTGTACAGGAAACTTTCTTTTTAGGGAAATAATTAGAGAGTGAGGCCCTGGGGCCATTTAATGTTTCGTATTTCTACTTAAGATTAACATGGGAAACAAAAATTGTTATGAAACTCCAGCTGTTGTCAGAAATTAAAAGTGATAAGAAGAACATATGTTAATTGTAAACAGTCAATAAGTTTGCTAACAGTTTGCTACAAACATTTACTGACTTGGTTGAAATAAAATATCTACTATTTGAATTTGGGTTGGCGTAAATATTACAATGAAAAAAAGCGAGAGAGCCTGGATAGTTTGATATACTAAGAAGAAAACTGAATTAACACTGTGCTGCATTTCTTAGTAATCATTGAAAGAACCAATTTGCAAACTATGGAAACATAGGAAAGTCATAGAACACCACAAAGAAGAAGAAATAGAAATAATGTTTTTTTATATTTATAATCAAAATAATGGACAACCTAATGAGGCTATGAGTAAGGCTATTTGTAGAAATTACTAAACACAAGACCAGCTTTTGAAAAATGATAAGATATTTACAAGAAATGTTGATCATATCGATCTGTTATGTACATCTTGAGTATTTACATAATCTTTAAGTTGAATCTTTTAAAGTCATCATAAATAATTATGACTGTTATTAATTTTAAAATAACGCCTGTAATACTTAGCAATTGCTTGAATTCGAGCAACAGGTAATCTAGTAGTTAGCTAATACGCCTACAAGTGTTTCACACTGGCTGGGTAGTTGAGGACTTAAGTGCTCCAATAATAATCTTAAGATCACCGGTTCGATCCTGAGAAGTCAGTAGTTTTTTGATGGTTCGAAACTGGACCCAGCTGTTCCTGATCAAAGGGATTTAAATAAATGATCTTGACCGATGAAACAGCTGATCTCAGTCAGTAACAAAGCTACACAATCTGACTCCATTCTACACTTATCTTTCACTCAATTTGGTTTCAAATACGCACCTAGGTGGCGTTCTCAAATAATTGATAGTTAATAAAACAATACAAACAAATGTCACAGTATGTCATTTCAGACACTTACTCTCTTTGTATCTGGTGTCTATCTGCGCCTGGAGGATGCTGATGCCTGGTACCACTATGGCAGGCAAGGTCCGAGATCTCAGCAGTGGAGGGGGCTGCTTCACCCCCGGCAGTGATATTTTGGGAGCCGCCGCCGCAGCAGCCTCTGCAGCCGCTCTGAAACAACCAAAACTTCAGTTAAAACCAACTGTAAATTCTAAATCGTTGATTGAAGCCTCAATATTCTCCGAAGACATAACAATATATTAATTCCGGTCTTTACCAACGCTGAAATCTACAGAATCCAAATAAAATTAAAATACTTCATTTTGTTTGTTTGTAGTTACCTTTTGGCTATAGCAAGCTTATGAAGAAGCCTTGGTTACTGCTTTTCTCTTACGATTATTGTGTTGTTTTTACTACTATGTAACAGTTCTCTAAGTGGTTTAAAATTGTTATTCTTAATTATCCAGCATCTTTGGCTCATCCTCAGAGACCAAAGGAGGGTTTGTAACATCTTTGCTTTCCAAGCCTTTGCTGTAATTTGTTTGTTATGTTTTGGGTACTTTTCCACCTGATTGTGGGATCAGATTTCACACTCCTAAACGTCGTTAAAATTTTTTTTACTCTATCAGTGATATAAAATATCAGCAATAATACCAAGTTCATTTTTAATGGTTAGCAATAACGGATGTATTTTACAAAAGAAGGAGGATTCTGAAATAGGGATACGGACAATTTAAAAAATAAGAATGCACTCAATTTTATGCACGTTAATTTTGAAGTATTGTAATAAGAAGTAATAGAAAGAATTATTATTATTACTTATTCTTATTACTTATTATTATTATTATTATTATTACTTATATTGTAATAATAAGAAATATTGAAGTAAGAATGTAAGTTAATTTTGAAAGTTAAACAATTAACTTACATACATTTAAAATGTTTAATAACATATCTAGGTGTTTGATAGTCCCTAACCTATAAAATGTCAAAAGCAGTGTACACTTGTACAGTATTATGAATTAACAGTAATTATGAACTAGATAGCCTATTCAGTTTATTTATGCAAATGTTCAAACGTGCAAACAGTTTCACATCAGTTTTAGTCCTATAAGTTCCAAGCAGAAAATAAGTAGGTGAAACTTCATCCGTGTGTTTCATGTTATAATCAGACGCAGATTCAAATCCTCCAGGAAATCAGAACGGGAAACAAACGTGCCAATTAAAGTTCCCAATAAACAATTCCTGGAACGAGTAGCGTTCCCTGGACAAATGGTTTATTGATTTGCGACTAATAGTTTCTGCACAAGTGTTTTGAACCATTTGTTGTTTTATTTTGTTGATAAACCATATATTTATTGTGAAAACTACTAAAATAAATGTTGATTTGATCATTACGCTTTTCAATCTAAACCTCAAAACCTGTGGTTACAAAAGAAGTAGAAAAGGGTATAATTTAAGGACGGTACTGAATAAATAAAAAAATTTAATCACAATACACGAATTGTAACTACGTGGTATTTGAGAGTGAATTTTGTAAGTTACAAATTAAATTAGGAATATAAAACTAGTGTAGGCTTTATTTAAATATATGGTTTTGATTGGTTTATACAGCAAAATATTAGTAACGAGTCATATATATTTTGGGAAACTATTAACACATAAACAGATATTTATTTAAGATAAAATATTCAGGCCAGTACGTGTTTATTAAAATATTCTTATACTCCCAATATTTTTAAGTGTATTGTGTTAATTAGTCTTGTGGATTTGTTGATTGTGTCTTCCTAACCTACTTTTGTACAAACCATTGTTCTTTAACGTTTTATTTTACTATTAAATGATCAAAATATATATTTGTGTGTTTTATTGCAGCTTAAGGTAGGGTTGTGTACTGTTCTAGTTATATTTGAGGTAATTTCAGACTTGAGGATGGGATTACGTTTCAGTTTCCAAAACCGTTCGTCGAAGAAACCTCCTAATGAATTTTGGAAAATGCTAAGACATTAAAATTAGATTTGTGTATAATGGATTTAGCATAGAGGTTATTAGATTCACTTGAAACGGATAAGGGGTCAGTTAAGGGAAGGGGAGGTAAATGGTATTGGAAGCAACTCTGCAGATATTGGCTCGTAAACAATCTTCAATTAAACCTTAAATCTTAACCCAAAAGGACCTTGGTACGTTATCTCTATTTGGATAATCCCTTAAAAGCACAGTCAATGCCGATTAATTGTAATAGTTAATGTATAACTTTGTAAAATTGTACATTCAGTATTATTTTAATGGTTTATAGTTTTAGGGCACTAGTTCAGAAACACAATAAATACAAATTTTAAGTTTTAGCGAATTTTCTCTAGGAAAACACTATTACCGTACCGTATACCTATGCCGTATGTCTCATAGTCTGACCTAGACCCGGGACCGATTGACTATTTCGTTTTGATGTCCCCAGAGGCCAAAAGCACAATCCATTTAAATATATAGCTATGCACAAATATATATTGCAGTAAAAACTGTCAAATTTTGATGAAATTCTGTAAAAACGTTTACCTACGGATTCAACGAACTTTGAGAACCATAATAGGACAATGGAAACGGCGTTTTGTGAGGCGTTTATTGGGTAAAATCCGTAGTACCTTTCAAAAATTATTGATATAGGTTAATTATTATGCATAGAAAGCACGATGAAAAGTAATTTCAATTCAGAAAAGAAGCAGATTTTCAAACATATTTTCCTTGTACCGCTGAGACATTCCAGCAGTTTCAAACCAAGGAACAATTCTATTTTGTCTTTGTTCTTAAGACTCTTCTACGCTCTTTATGCAAATTCCTTCGAATTTCTTTTTCCTTGAATGGATTCAAGTTGTCCAACTATGGTAACTTGTCATTCATAAGTCACAATGTACCATAAGAGTAATCATTATTATATCGAAGGTTCTAAGACTAGTCCTAATGTTATATTTAATTATTTGTTTTACCAAAAGCGCAAGAGTCAAAGAAATAAAAATAATATAACTATCTATAAAATATTTTCTGAAACCTAATGTTTTTACAAACATGTTAGAACAAATCCATAAAATATTAGAGTTAGCCTGAAACTTTGAGTCAAAAATTGATAAAGGCATACCAGGAACTAATTACATCCATAATTAAACACAATACAATTTTAGTTTTTTATTATATAAAAACTTATAATAACTGCAGTTTTAATTTCGCCTAATCACATCAAATTAAAACGTCCCGTTGGAGATTTCTGTCGCTCCTTCCTAGTTAAATCTTAATTTAGCTCTGGCAAATTTTACAGAGTAATTTTAGCTTACAATAGATGTAATTTTGTTCAACAAGATTTGTTAGTTAACAATTTACAATAAATAAATACACTTAAATATTAAATTTACATTCATTAAAGTTATTGGTTTTGGTTAGAACGGATTAGGTTTAAATGATTTTCGAATTTTAACGACTCTGCACTAAGATAGGGAATTTGCACTTTACAGAATCTCTATAGGTCTAATAAAATAAAAGTGATATTCTTTTAATGTAGGGAGTGGTGTAACTGTGGTGTTTTAGGGAATGGAATCTTCAAATACAGAATAATTTGACTTTGAATGAAAAAAAACGTCTTTTTTTGCTAAAACTTATATTGGCTCCAAGAAATCAAGTCGTTGAAGGAATTTTGGTTATGGGACTCAATTCAAATACACTTCGCTCTAACTGCTAGACAAGATCGAAACTAAGGTCTAGTGTTTTTAATTAAATATATTTATTACGTAAATTAAAAAGCCATACGTTCATAGTCACTACAAATCTTGCAGATAATTTTAGTTGTCGTAAGTAGTGAAAATACAAAAACCACAAAAAATAAATTTTACGATTAAGCTTAAGCCTGTCAACATAATTACACTAATTAAAACATCCTATGGTTTAGAATGGAACGTCTATTCGCTATTCATGCATGTCAGCATTTTCAGCTTCAATTCAGTTGCACGCTGACAACAATAGGAATTGTCAGTGGATAATAACGACTGCTGGAAACTGTTGAAGGTTTTGACAGGTCTGAATCATTCTGTTTCATTAAACTTGATAGTTTTTTAGCAAATTTCCCATATAGGAAATAAGCTATTACAGTAGTACCCATGGTAAGACCTGGACCCGGGACCGATTTACTTTTACGTGTTGAGGTCCCTAGAGGCTAGAGGTGTACGTGTGTGTCCGTAAGCACGATAACTCGAGAAAAAAATAATTTGATTTTGATTAAATTAGAAACAAACGTGTAACCCTACGTTTATTCGAACGAGTACGTGAACCAGCCTGATTAGACTATGGGAATGGGGGTTTGTGGGGATTTTATTATATGGAAATTGGTTTTCCCCATTGTTTACCCTAAAACACCAAATTTCACAATTTCTTTCCAAACCATTTTGTAGAGCTTAAAAAAATAAATAATTTTTAATATTGAAGTGTAGTTATATGCCTAACGGTTATGAAGCTAATTAAAAAAAAAATAAATTATAATTTTAATAAGGAGAATAAACAAACTGTTGTAGTTTCCTTGTTTATGGATATATTTTAATAAAATTTGGCAATTTTGTTTATTTTATACTAAGCTATCAACATTTCAATAAAATACACACCTTCAGCAAACCCTAGTACTCATTAAAATAAATGTTATTTAAATAGGAAATAAATCTGACAATTTTAGGGAAATATTTTAATAGAAATCAAGCCAGATTATTTTTTTTTATTTACAACCTTAATAATTAATTGTTCTTAGTTGTGTTTTAATATTTTATATGGCACAAGTACATGTTACGATATTTTACGACACCTACGAGCCATTTGATTTTATCCAAATGAAAATAATTGGCTTAAACTTTAACATGACAATCTATGCCTTGCTTACTGTTAGTAGTGTATATACCAAAACTACTAAATCAATAAATGGCGAGTACGAGCTAGTGGTTAGTTAAAACACCAATACGATTCTTTTCACAAACATAAACACTGTACGAACAGTATTTACTTGTTTGTTTACAATCCTGAATCATCAGTTTTGTAGATAAACAATGGTCCAGTGGGATGCTGAATATTGTTTACCAGTGTCTTCATCGCACTGTATGTTGATAAATTTAGGCCTACGATAAACATTATTTTTCGAATAGCTCACT